AGCCCACAGTGTTGGTACTGTGCAATTGATTTTAGCACAGCTTAGTGCTGAGGGAGCTGAGCACAAGCAGGCATCAGAATGTTACACGTTAGGCTGTGTAATGAGTCCTGAAGCTCTTAGATATCCATTCCTTTGGTACCTGCTCTCTTTTGCCAGTGTAGAAAAGTCATGCAGAAATGTAGTGGAGCATAGCTATATTTTTTCCATATTGTTTGTACTACTTTTAATAGGTGACAACAATGGTGTTGGATTCCCTTCTGTAAGTACAGTGGATGGTTTCTCATATACTACAGGTTTCTTACAAAATGGTCCTTGTGCTTCACCTTGATTAATGCATCCAGAAAACCATCACTGGAGTCTCACTGTGAAAAGACATGTAAGAGTAGTGAGATATCTGCTTGATAGAAATAAATATTTTTTGGCTTATATTTGTTGTTTAAAACATAAATACAAGTTCTGACATTTATTTGGAATCTATATTTTGCCTCTAGGGTAAGTTTCAGTATCACAGTAGACACATAATCTTTCGTAAAATAGCACATGGTGTAAACTGACTTTACTGTGTGAAAGAGGAAGCCATTACTCTATTAAGCTGGGCTTTGTAATACAGTAGGACTCGAATCTAAGATGCTTAAACCTAAGAGAAAGCTTTTTATTTGCTGCACTCAGCATGTAGATGGATAGACTTGTGAAGAGGGTCACCATTACGTGTGCACTGAAATGATTGCCTCGTAAGAATTTTAGTTTTAGACATAGGATTCAGAATAGACTTAGGAAGTGAACTACATGGACTTCTCTGTTGAGTTACTCTGTGAGTTACTATTTCAGTTTGTAATATGAAAAGTGGTAATTTTAAGGCAGAAGCTGTTGAAGAACCTAGCGCTGCCTCTCAGACTGCAATTTTTTGGATTGCAGATTTCTGATCTTTACTATGAAACTGGACTCCATCCTTCATACAGACCTTGGATGTTGATGTTGACTAATTTTTGTAGCCTTGAAACTCACTATTCTGCTTTTTTTTCTGACAGTGTTAGGATTTTAAAGTTGTTCCATTATAGCTCAAATTTTTTGCCTTTTTGGACTTGGTATTTGTAATACTTCCCTTTGGTCTTAGATTACCAATTAGAATTTAGATGTAAAAAGTGAAAATCCAAGAAAAGTTCATATCTCTCTTTGAGAATGTGATGGAATTGCATTTCATAGAATCATAGAATGGCCTGTCTTGGAAGGAACCTAAAGATCAGTTAGTTTCACCCCACTGTGATCAGGGGCAGGGACACCTCCCACTAGAGCAGGTTGCTCCAAGCCCCATCCAACCTGGCCTTGAACACTGCTGGGGATGGGGCATCCTCAGGTTCTCTGGGCAACCTGTTCCAGTGCATCAGCACCCTCACATTAAAGAATTTCATCATAATGTCTGCTTTAAGTCTCCCCTCTTTCAGTTTGAAGTCATTGTCCCTTGTCCTGTCACTACACGCCTTTGTAAAAATGCCACTCTTTCTGCCTGCGTTGATCTTCAAATTCTAGGTTGCTGATAGAGTCATGTGTTTATACAGAAGAAGTTGGTTGTTCTCATACTAACCAAATTTTTCACTAAACAATTTGTGTTTAATAATTTTTAAGATTTTTTTTGCTCTTATCCAAAGATACTTGGACCACAGAATTCTGGAAGTATTACATTAAATTGACATGAATCTAAAACAAAACACCAGCAAGAGAAGTTTCACCCAGTTTTCTGTCTTAGGAAGGTCTTCTTTCTTACCTAAAAAATAATTGTTCAACCTTCTCTTATATTTGAATAAACAAAGTCTTTAGGCTAGGATAATTAAAAGAATATTTCTCAGTTTTTCAAAGATGTGTTAAGTTTAACAGAAAATTGTACCAAACTCCTTTTGAGTTGGAGTCCACTGATAAGCAAAACTTTTGTTTTTAAATTTATTTAATCAATTACATCTGGGTTCTTAGAATTTTTGAAGCTGAAAAATTCCACAAGCACACTTAAAAATGAGGAGGTTTTGAGGATGTCATAGACCCAAATTCTATAGGTAAGTGTGTTTTGGTAACAGCAATCTACTGAATATTTTAAGGTAAAAGGTGGAGGTGTTCATTAAGATCTAAGACTTGATTTGTTGGATTTAGTTTTTCGAGAAATATGTCTGTATAGCCATGTGGACAGAGACAGTAAGGGTTTTATTAGAAAAAAAGATAAATTTACCATAAAAATACTTTAAAGTATTTTATTTAAAATAAGTATCACAGCATGGCAATTTCTAGGGATCTCTTTTGGAAGAAGAAAAGAGTAGAAAAATAACCTCAAAGCAAATAAAGAATAATAATTTTCATATATTGGTCATGCTAAAGTCAACAGCAGAACCTGCATGACATAGTGGAGCAGGTTTTGATGTAATCTGTGATGGAGTCAATTTAAATGGAGTTATGTTTTAAAGTACTCAGTATTTCATTTTTTTACAGAAGAAAATAAAAAGTAGTGATACAATAAGAAGTCAGTAATTAGTGACATTTCTCTAATTCTTACAGGTCAGCAGCAGGAGCTGGACTCAAGGATATAAAGGTCCTTTTGAAGTTAAATAATTCTATGAACATTTAACAGGTGTAGACTTTTTAAATTACCAGGAATGTGAATTGAAATTGTTGTAACAGATTAAAGTTGTTGACTCTTTTTTGAGTTACTAATATCGTTCTAAAACTTGTGTTTCACGTGGAGCTCTTTTTTTACTTGCATCTGAGAAATCAGTAAGATGTGTGTGTCAAGTTGGTAGGTGTATTTCTCTTTTGTAAAAACAGTAAAATTCAAATAATAAAATAAATTCCAGAACCTGAGTGCAACTACATTTCCCTTATCTACTGACGCTGTTTCTGTCTTCTTGGTTTTGTTGGATTTTTTTCATTTTTGTATAATGCTCAGGTTTTGTTCAAACAACAATGAAGTCCAGTTTTCTTTAAAGCATTCTTTTGATTGCATGGCTTGTCACTTCTCATTTTCTTGTTTTTCTTTTTGTTTTTTCTCTGTGTGTTCATGAGCTAATGGTTATAAACAGGCATTTTACTGATCATAGATGGTAATGACATCTGTTTGCAAATACATATGGCCTAAACTATGCAAAATGAGGAACAGAATGTATTTAAGGAACAGTCAGCAAAAGCACAGGCAACTTTTACTGTCTGACAAATCTCTTATACTTACTGTATGAAGAGTTGAGGTTTTTCTAAAGAAAGTGGTCAATATCTTTAATTTTTAATTTATTTGTTGAAATAATTAGTTTATCTTAGGCTTTATGAAAAGCATATTTTGCATAAATAAAATGTCTGTGCCCATTTGTCTGTTTCTGAGAAATACTAAGCTTACTAAGGTGCTTGATTGATTTTAATCAACTTTGGATGACTTCACTTCTTGATTGGCATGAATTCGGAGATTTATTTACTTAACCTTTTTTTTACACTGCTTTTTGTAATTTTTGTCAGTATTCCTGACTTTTTTTATGTAGGGAACACCAGTATTTGAGAACACAGTGCCACGTGATGATTGTACCAAATTTTATGTTCTCTATTGAAATGGGTATTTGTCTTAAGAATATGCGCAAACAGTTGCAAGCAAGTGATGTTGTCAGGATCTTGTTAATAAGGGATAAAATAAAACTTCTAGTTAGTCTTAAGAGCATGTCTTCTGGATCAGGTTTGTTGATTGAAGAGCTTACTGCTTGCCAGCTGCTCGTCATTGCTGTCAGAACACCTCTGGCAATAGAGTTTCATGAGTTTCCCCTCATCAGTGCAGTCCAAGGTAAGCTCAAGCCACTTCCATTGACTTTTAAACTACCCACCCTCAGTTATGCAATCAGTTAGGGAGGCTGTTTACATCATTACTTCTCCAGCAATGACACTGAGGAGTTAACCTCCAGCTACCTGGATGCATTGGCCATGTGGGAGTTCTATCATCTTTCTCTGGCACAGCTGTTAAAGGATGAATATCTGTCCCCAGCCTTATGGCACTGAGGAGGAGGTTTGAGCTAAAGCATTTCACTTTGTGATTGCCATAAGGTGACCCAATAGGCATATTGCTGCTGCTTACACTAAGAAAGAAAATTTTGCCCAGTGGTTGTAGGGTGGGGTGTGATCACACCTGGTAATGAAAGCTCAACTGACCAGGAGTCAGTTGTCAAGCCATGCTAACTTGACCACTCTTGGTCATGTATACATGAGTCTGCTACTGAATATCAGGGTTATAACTTACAGGAGCTGCTAGCACTGAAATGTGTCCTCTCTGAAAAGGTTTGGTAGCTAGGTAAGTTGATCACTGTGCGGCAGCCTTGTATTGTGCCAAGGAATTGCTGCACGTGGGTTGATAGCTAGGAAAGCTATCAGTTCAACAGTTTAACAGAATTCAACAGTTTAACAAAATAAAGTACCAGCCTTGAGCAACACTGTGAGCTAGAGTCTATTTTTTCCTTTAGGTTTTCAGTTTGACCCCAACACTTGTGCTCTTTAAGGATGTTATGGATACAAGTTTTAGATTTACAGTAAATAAGTACTTTTCTGAGGCAGTTCTTAACTAACAATATGTTTAGTTCTAGAATATGCAGTTGAGGTTTTTTTATTCGGCCAGTGATACTTAAAACTTGAAGTTTCACTAGAAACAAGTTCAGAAGCTGCAGTATTTTGTCAAGAAATTTAATAGCATGTGACATACAAAATACTCTCTAATAAGTTACTGCAGAAGAAATGTCCATATAAAACAGCCATTCTTAAGAACATAAATTTAGATTTAGAAAATAGGGTGGTGGTCTAAAAACGTTTCCTTAATATTTTGAGACCTGGTTTTGATTATGCATTCATGGGTAATTTAGGAGAGCAGAAATATTTGCAGCTTTTACATGTTTCTGTAATATTGTTAATATGTTTCTCTAGGCAGTTTTAAGTAAATGGTGTGTTACGCATCTGATTTTTTGTTAACACTGTAGTATACCTCTACTGTCATTTTCTAGATATTTCAACAGCCGCCTTTAAGTGAGCTAGAGGACTGTATTACAGTACAAGAATCTGAAATGGAGCTTTTACAGAAAAAATTGAAGGAAGGGGATCCTAACCTAGCAGAGCATAATTTGTGCACTGCAGATACTCTGGAAAGCAACAATATAAGGACTGGAAGAAAGCACGAGGTAGGGTAGTTTTATTGTCTGGTGTATTTGTGTGTAAGTCAGGCTGGTGAAGCCAAACGTTTTTGCTCAAGGGCCCAGATAATAATTTTAATATCTGTTGACGCTGCTTATAATTCTGGAAGCTTGTTTGAATAGTTCCTGTGTTATCTGCCAAAGACTTGTTAAAATAGCTGTTGGGAGTAGAAGGTTTTACCTTATTAAATACTGAATAAGGGATTCTTAATTAAATGAACTATTTGCAGGATAAATTCTTTGTAGGTTTGCTAAAATGAATATTTATCAGATATTTTGTCGTGTTTGTTAGAATGACCACTGTAAGGAAAGTGAGACAAATATAAATGGTTATTATTATGATTTTTTAAATGAAAAATAGTTTTTCCCAAATTCTCGATTTCTGGAGTGGAATATAGTATTTTTTCTAGGATGAATGACAACAATATCCTTTGAAATTTATACTTTCGGCTTTGTATGGTGCTGAATTGCCTCTTTTGTGGAGTCTCACTGTTTGATTTAGGCATTAAATAACAATAACAGCACCTATGAGCTATAGTAAATGAGTGACACTTGTAAATAATTCCATTATTTAAATGGATCTATTAAATTAGCTGAAATCATGATGCTTTTCATTGTGTTCAGACTCTTCCTCATCTATTTTTTATTGTGATTGTATGGAGTATTAGAAACTGTTAACAAGGTTGCAAAGATGAATGTGATTCTGAATGGTATAAATAATGCACTAGTGTGGACCATCTTGTCCACTTCCTCTGAAATCTTCTAGTTTATCCAAATATGGTATCTCGTCACATTTTCTTTAAAAAATGTGTAGCTTGTTCTTTCTTAATGATCTGTACTGTATGTTAGTTTTGGGAAAAGACACGCTTTAGAACATTTCTTCAGGAGCATGTGGTAGGCATTTCTGTGAAAATGTGCTTAAGAAAAAACTAAATGCTACACCGGCAGTATAGACTGAAGAACAGAGGGTGAGAAACAGCCTGACAAACATGAAGGTCAAGAAGGAGGAGAGGGAGGGTTTGCCTCATGTGCTGGAAACAGGTATTTCTCTACAGCCCAGGGAGAGGATCACTGTGGAGCTGATGTCAATAAAATAGCTTGTGGAGGAGCCCAGAGCAAGTGGATATTTGCTCATAGAAGCCACAGCTTGTGGAGGGGAGTAGATACTGGAGCAGGTTCCTCTCTTAAATGAACTGTGGTCCATGGAAGATCCGCTCTGGAATAAGTTTATCCTGGAGGACTCCAGCCTGTGAGGCCCTGTGCCAGAGTGGGAGGAAAGTGTGAGGAGGAAAGAATAGCCCAAAGGGAGCTGTTAAGCATTTATTGTAAACCTTCTGCCTGCATGGCTCAGCAGGTGGTAAAAGAGTCAGGAGCTATGGAATGAAGTTATGCCTGGGAAGCTGGGAGCTTCTTTTGGGTAGGGAAGACAGTGTTAATTAATTTTTTTTTTCTTTATTTCTTACAACCTAAATATATTCTAAGTGGCAATAGCTTAAATAAATTTCCTTCAAGTTGAGTCAGCCCATGATGCTGAGTGGTAAACCCAACAGCTTTATCATCCTATTTTCTCCTGTCCTAGTTGGGAAGGAAACTGGGAGAGCAGTTGAGTGGGTGTTTGACCCCTTGCCAAGGTTAGCCCCCACAATGTCTTTTTCTGTTTCCTCAGGGGAAAGTAAATGAGACTGCTGTGTTTGTCATGAACTGTGTCAAAATAAAGCAATTACACTGCCTTCCTTTAGTAAAACGAAATACAAATTTTAAAGCCTATTGTACAAAATCTCTTCCTGTTTTGATATGTAGGTCTGAGTTACGCTCTTTAAATAGTCAAGGCTGTTTGATATGTCCACTTTTTCACAAGAGCACACAAGTCTCTAAAACTTTTGGGAACTCAGTTGTTTAACTCCTTTGTAGGTAAGGCAACACAGTAAGTGAAATTGTGGAAATACTGTGGATTTTCTAAATGGAGAAGGTAGTATTGCTGTGCTAGTACTTTACCCTTTTTCCTTTCAGTATCTTCTCATTCCCTTGTTTTTCAGCCTTTTATGACAAAATCAGAAGTCATTAGCACATGACTTCACAGAAAGAGTAGGTGGGATATTCAATATTTGTTTTAAAAAGATGATCCTTTTGACTTTACAAAGACTATTGTGCTGCCCTTCATTCCCCCATATATACATTCCCAGAATACAAAGAACAAATAAGCATGGAATCACTTCTGATCAGAATGATACTGCATTGATGACTTACTGCTCTAAAAAGGTTTCAAAGGCTTTGAAAGAAGGAATAGTTAGAAAGGTGTTGAAAAGAAGAGCCTGGTACAAACAGAAACTTGGCACTGCTGCGGTAAATTGAGATTTATGACCACCCGACTGCATGCTTCTGGCTGTGTTTACATATGCAAGAGCATAGATACATCTATAGCCTTGTGTTGGTTTCTTTTCTTTATGAATTACAGAAATCCACATCTCTTGCCTACAGCTGTACTGAGGAATAGAAACAACTTATTCTTTGAGAGGCATTTCAAAGCTTCGTTAAACTTGGTCGTGATGTCCTGTTTCATGATATTGTTAAGTGTGTATTTAGAGGCAGTTGTAACAATCATGGTCTCGTCTATGTGAAAAGTGGTGTAGCTGTGTGCTGTTGTGTTTGAAGACTTAGGAGTCAGTGGCTTGACCTTCCTAGAGCTCTTCTTGGAGCTTAAACTGTGTGAGCAATATATGATTTCTGTTAGCTGATTAAACTGACATTCATATGTCGGCTGGCTAATTCAGTAGGGTTTTGTGGTTTTCTTGTAGCTAAGCTTTCCCATGATATGGTGCATGGGAGTTAGAATTGCCTTTTGTTCATGTACATTCTATACCATTCTTCTAGGTCTGTAGTGTCAAGACACTGAAAGACATGTGTTAACTTGCAGTGCTACTAAAGTTCCTGTCGAAACATAGTGAATCAAGATTTTAGCATTTGTCTTTCTAAAAACCCCCACATCTATCTGGTCAGTCTTGGTTTCAGCCTCAACAATGTTTCTGTTTCTTCAATTGACAAAAACATTACGATTTCTGCCCACTGTCCTCTGAGCTGTATCTTGGCAGTCATTGATATCAAGCCTGTAAAGAAAAAGCGCTCCTAAGACTTTTCAGGAGGAGTTCTGACTTCCCTACTTTGGTTTGGGTTTTGGGGTTTTTTTGTTGGCGGGGTTCTTTTTTTTTTTTTTTTTTGTTAATTATTTTATGGTTTTCATTGTTTTTGTTTTATTTGGCCTGTTTTGGCACTTTATTCAACATGAAACCTTGAATTGTTGAATTCAAGAACATGGCTATTTGCAGTTTTGTCCCATGATGTCTTTCATTGTGCAGACAGGTAATAGAAGGTTGTCTAGAAATAGGCATATTTTCTTTTTTGCTTGTGTGCTTCCATTATCAGTTAATGTGTGTCCCATCCACTTACCTGCTCTTTCTTTATGCTAAATCTTCTATCACAAAATTTCATATCTATTATATAATAGAAACTCTGTTCATTTCTGGTTTTCTGCTATTTAGTTTAGTCTTCAGTAAAAGTGTTTAAAGAACATTCAATGAAAAATATTCTGCTCTGGATTCCTTTCCTGACTTGGATTAACAATATTCACTAATATAAAATTGGAGGGTTTTTTTTACTCCTAAAAATGTAGAAAATTTTTGAAACATTACATTTTGAAACATTATATACATTTCTGTATATATCTTATAGAGGTATGACAAAATTTTTCTGTAGAATATGAGGACTGAATAAAAAATTTAATGTTTATATTTGACAGGAGCAAGAACAGTAAAGTTTGCACTTGTGAGAAGATTTTTACAGATGCCATCTTTCAAACTGAGTTTTGCAGCAGCCCCAGGCAATCCAATTATAGTGTATTTTACTACACAGTCTCCTTTGTCTTGACAGAACTCTTTACCTCCTTAGCAAAGATTGTGTTCAAACTACCTATGTGCAACTGTAAAGCCCAGATCCGGTGTCCTTTCTCCACAGACCTTTAGTCTGATCACTAAAAAGGTGAAAGTTATAGAATACATATCACCAATCCCATCCATTGTCACAGTTAATCATTTCCATATCCATAAGTAGTTAAAGGTTTTCTCATTTTTTTTCACATACCTTGGCTCTAGCACATTCCCAGGTAGCTATATATAAACTCTGAGTGTGTGTATAATATATATATCTATCTATATATATGTATAAAAAATTCTTATATACTTGTATCTGATCAGCTGAGACTAGACTAGCAAGACAGTGAATTTTATCTTTTTTGGTATTTTTTTTCTCTTTTCTCTGTTCCTTCTCAGGTTTTCTCTACCTATTAATTCTTAAGAGCCTCGTGCTGGTTGATCTCCTCCTTTTCCTTTGTTGTCCTTCACTTTGGCAGCAAGCAGAGTGCTTTGACCTTCTATATCTGATTTCAGAGAAACTGTGTATATTTCAGATTTTCTCTATACCAGCATAAAGTTTACCTAGAGGCAATTATTGAAAAATAATGCAAAGTACAGTCATACATAATATGAATGTATATAATGATTAAGGAATATAGAGGATAGGAAGTTTGGGTTTTGGTTGCTTTTTTTTTAAAGCTCTTCATTTTATTTACAAAATTGGGGACTTTGAAGATGATTATATTTTTTATTATTTGGATTTTAAATGTACTAAAAGCTTTTCCAGACGTTAGTTCTGGTTTGGTTTGGTTTTGGTTTTTTTTTGAGGGGGGGGTTGTTTTGGTTTGGTTTATTCTTGGGGTTTTTTTTTGGTTTTGGGTTGTTTTGTTTTTTGGGTTGTTGGGTTTTTTTGTTTGTTTGGATTGGTTTTGGTTTTGGTTGGGGTTTTTTTGTGAGAGTGTAACACTTTTTCTAATAAATTTTGCTTGGTTGTTTGTTGGACTTTCTTATGTCTGTTTCAGGTATGCGTCATAAGCAAAAGAATCCTTAAATCAAATGACAAAACCACATTGGAAATATTCACATTCATAAATATAAATATAATTATAAATATAATTATAAATATAATTATAAATATAAATATGAGATGCTACTGTTCTCTGATATTTTGTGACAGATTTTTATTCTTCTTTTTGGAAACCCATACTATTTAAAATTAAAATGTGGTATATGATGTCTTATAAATATTTCATGCTGGAAGGTAGTAGTCAAAGAAAAAAATGTCAGTTGCTAATTAAGATACTCTTCAAAATTAAATTAATTTAATGGACTAGTGAAAATATTGATATCTACAGTATTGAAGAAGAATTTATCCCTAATTTCTTTTATTGTTGATCAGTGTTTTCGCAGAGAAATTGGCATAATGCAGCAAGAATAATCACAATTTACCTAAGTTTCTGTTTGACTTTATGTGTTGGCACAACAGTATTTTGCCTGATTGGCATTAAGTGTGTGTTGGTATTTCACTGTTCTTCACCCAAGTTATTCCAAAAATCTGAAAGTCTAATTTTATGAGGCCTTTCTTTCTCTGCCATAAGGAGATATGACATAGAGTGAACAAGAAAGCTGCCCAGTTTAAGTGTTAGTTTCACATACTCTTTCTCCAGATTGCTGTATGAAGCTGTACATAATATAAACACATATTCTTGTCTCTAGTTAGTCACATTATAGTTAATGACCATATGGTCATTATGGTATAAGATCTACTGTCTGTTGTATTTATATTCCTCAAGCATATTGTTCCTTCAACTTCACAGTGTGTTAAACTATTTCAAAGGGAAAAAAATCCTTTCCCTCTTGTTTCTGGTTGTCCTATCAAGTGTAACCTTGGACCCTTATAGAGCAATTAGACCAGCCTCTATCCCCTCCTTTGTAATGAGGTTTCTTGCATTTCTGAGTCTATAACCCTTTAGTCTTCCCTAATGGGACATCATTATTCTGAAAGAAACAATGTAAATGTAAATGAATATTCTCATTAACGAGTCACAGAGAAACCTTTAGTGGTAGCGCTGTGGTAATTCTGCTTGTTATTTCTCTGGTATTCCATGCAGATTTTTTTTTTTTATAATTCATTATTAGTATTCAAAATTACTTCTTCTTTAATTCTGCATGTCTTTCATAATCCGGTGTTCCAACTAGTTCAACCATGTCCTTGTTTTATTCTCCAGAAACCACCTGTGAAACGTTCAAGGTCTCTGTCCCCAAAGAGCTCTTTTAGAGAGTCAGAGGAACTAAAGAAGCTTAAAATAGCTGAAAGGAAGATTGAAAACTTAGAGAAGACACTACAGCTAAAGGTGAACATTAAATAAAAATAAATAAAAAGCCTGCTAGCTATAAGCTTGCATAGATAAAGATATACCAAAACAAACAGACATTTTAAAAATTAAAAATACACATATTTTTATGCACTGTAAGTCTCTTTGGATCAGAGAGCACTCTCCATTAGTTTACGTTTTTGCTTTACAGTGTGAGTAATATTGCAGTCCTGTGGAAGCTTAATTGAGCTGTCATCAATAGCACATACTTGTTAAATACATTTTCAAAGTTTGTGTTTGGGTATATATATTCTGAGAAATTTATGTGTTCATATGAAGTAAATCAGAAAGTAGAAGCACTGAAAGTACAAAGACTTTTATGTACAATAAAGCCACACTTTAAAATGCTGAAGTCAGTAACTTAAAAAAGACCCCTGGAAATTATGTAAGTTGTGGGTCCATTAGTTGCTGGTCTAAAAGATGCTGTTTAAAAAAACAATAACAATCCCCCTCACTCCACCCCTTCATAGAAAATCTTAATTGAGCTTGTTTTGCAATTGCTCATTTTGTCCCAGTTTCGCAGATTTTTGTAGCTGTGTTTTTGTTGGTTTGGTATTTTGCTACAGAGATACAGTAACTTTTGAACAAACTGTTGGTTTAAAATTGCACCTCTGAATGCAAAAATGCAAACCCTAGTCATATTTTCTTAAACACTTAAAATTCATCTTCTTCTTTATTCTCCTCACTTTCCTCCCTCTCCTCCTTCTCTTTTTTGTGTTGCTTATTGTTGTTCAGTTATGTAATTTGAAAGATATTTTCAAGTATGTGTAGCCTAAAGGAGAATTCGTTGTATTAAACATCCTATAATAAAGTTATGTAAGTGAAAAAATTGGAAGCTTTACCAACCATAGTGATAAGTTAATTTTAGAAAAACTGTAAGTGGGAAGTATATTTCAGCAAAATGTCACAGTTCATCCATCTATGTACATGGGAGAATTTAAAGCATTATCTTAACACATGTAGAGTATATGAACAGGAGAGGTTATTTAGACTTCAAATTCAGTCTTCCAGGTTGTCTTGTTCCTGGGAGACAGAAAATTAATTTTGTTTTGTTTTTTCCCTCTGTTGAGAATTCTAAGGCATGTCCCACCAGCTAAACCTGAGAATTGGCCTTTGGGAGGCTTTCTGTTCATTACTCTTAGTTGGCCTGCCTGACACTGATGTTACAGATTATTCTGGAACTGTAGGCTACAACTGTTTTGCTCTTGGAAACAAAATACACTTCAGTGTCTATGGCTATTGCCTTCAATGATAGAGAGCTACACATTTCTTCTGGAAAGAGGAGTGAAGGAAAGCAGATGCAAAAGAGAAACAACTGTCTGTTCATGACCTCATATATAATTTGTACCATTCACCATACTGCCTTTACTTATCTTCTATTTAATCTTAAAGTATAATTTAAAAATCTGTGCAGGTTTATGATGTTACAGGTGTGGGATCTCTATCACAGACACCCATGATGTCTTTAAGGGCTAAATCTCCCCTTGAAAGTGAGCACATTAACTTCTTGCATTTTCTCTTGACAATCTATTTGGCTTCTTTTGCAGAATGCTTTAATGGTTTGAAAAGAAGCTGTAGAGGCCCAGGTCATCGTAATAAACACTGTTGTAGCACTACATTCATATTTCAATGAGGCTACTGCCAACATGACAGTGAACTAAGCTTCATAAAGTTAATGTCAGAACATTTATGTTGATGTTCTGTGATTTCTTAATGCTAGCCTTCTCTCAGGCTTTGTTTCTAGCAACAAAAAATGGATTTGACCCACATTTTCAAAACTGGTCCTTGCATTATTGCCTCTTCAAATGAAGTGTTTTCTATATGATTACTTGAAATTTTCTTGCTCAGAGAAATGGTTGCTCTATCAATACGCACACTAGTGATGCATGTCTGGAACATGAAATGGTGACTTTATACATTAGTACTTTCAAAAAATTGGTAACAATACAAAAAAAAAAAAAAAGAACAGCTCTATTTTTGGGGTGTTCAGGAATGCTTCAGTCATTATTACAAAGGAGCAGAAGAGGTTAAGGTCCCATTCACAGGTTTTTCCCATTCTCTCAGCTGACTCATTTCTCAACAAGAAAAGATGGCTCTTAGTATCTTTGTTGCTAGTATAAATGGGGTGATCATTTAGATTCAGAGTTTTTACACAGAATTGGCTTTGTTTCTGGGATACTAAAAAGTAACAGAGCATGCCTGATTGCAACCTTGGTTACAGAAGAGAACGTCAAAATGAATAAGAGTATTTTTTTTTTTTTTGCTTTTAAATAACAAATTATCAATCTGCTACTTAGATTGGTACAAAACTTCAGTCTACTGTGGGTCTTTAAGAAGTGGGTAAGAGTTTGGTTGTTGAGAAGTAGGTATTTGATACAAACTAAGAATACGTTGATCTTCTCCTGTATTTCTTCTAGAGCTGTGGTCACTGGTGTAGCCTGGAAGAGATAATCCTGGCTTTAACTGGAAAAGTCTCAAAACCAATAGGAGCTCTTCTCTTTGAGTTTTCTCATCCTTTTTAGGTTCTAAAGTTTTTGGAGGTAAATAAAATTAGAATATGCACACCAGTCTTCAGGGCCATCTTAAATACTTGTTTGTATTGTACACTCACATTTACCTCATATTTCATATGTAGTCCTATTCCATGTATAGTGTTCAGATGCTGAAAATAGATGAATATTGCATCTTATCCACGTAACTGTCTGTGGAAAAAACTGGTTTTGTAGCTATTCGGGGCCTCAGTTCTTGAAAGCCTAAGCATAGTCAAATAATTGAATCACTGTAGTTTTTTTAAATTTCCTTTTTACAGTAATAGAAGGTCAATTTCAATAAAAACTTGCATTAGTGATTAGAATATTTTGACTTGTCTGAGCAGCCTACCAAAAGAAAAAAAGGCATAGGCAGTGGGGATTTTCCTACTGCAGATTGAACTTTGTGTTACTGTTATTCATTATTGCATGGGTGGTACTATGGATGACAGGGTACAGCTGGAGAGTAATCTGGAGGTCCAGCACTGTGAGAGATGGGTTGTTCTGTCCCATGTCCATGAATGTATACAAAATGGTGTACAAGACAGTTTAGTTATGAAATATAACATAATTCAGACAGAGATTAATCTAACAAATTATGGAAATTTAAGTGAATATTTTAAATCCTGAAGTGCTTTATTCAATAGAGAGAGTGATTAGGGCAGTTAATTGTCTAATTTCTATTTCTGCAAGAGCAGAGCAAGTGATAAGGGAAGGCAATAACTGTAACAGAATGGATAATAGAACAGGTAAGCAATAATGAAAAATGCAGATTCATTAATAGGAAAGGCCAAATTCTACAGTTGGTTGCATCTCTGAAACGGCATTGACACTAATAAGCTTCTCAGGATTTATACTGAAGACATTATTTTCTAGTGCCCTGCCAGACTTGACCAGTTTTTGCTAACAATATCAAACAATCTCAAAACAGTTGTTTCATGAACTTCTCTTGAAAACACAACATCTGTAATTGTATTCTTGTGAAAATTTCCTCTTGCAAAACTTGGTAATGGTCTCTATGTTCTTAGTCTAAGATTTATGTGCTTTATGTGGTTGTTTTTAATATCATTGTGGTATTTATATGAGTTCACTTAAGCCCAGTCAAAAGTACTTTTTTAACAATTCAAAATTTAAAAATGTATTTGGCTTAGAGGTTGTTTCAGGAAAGACAACCTATCACCACCACTTTGGGAAAGTATTTAGTGGTAGGGTCACTTTGGACTTGATTGTGTTCCTAAATCTTTTCTTTTTGTTTCTGAAGTCACTTCCAGAAAACTTCTGGAATTATGTATATAGTACCATTTGAAACTTTAGCTGGTGTCTTTCAACTTTGTGCATCATGAAAGCTGGGCTACATTTGATTGCCAAGCTTAGTGTAGGTGCTTTGTAGTTATGAGTACTCTGGAAACCCTTGCCATGTTTTTATAATGGGGCTCAATTTTTATTGTTTGCAACTCTGACTATTGGTTTGTCTAATTTATTGACTAATGCTGAAAAGTCCTCCTTGCATATAAGCGATGTAAATACTTGCAAATAAGGTATTCTGGTTTATTTAGTTCCGTAGTTGCTCTACAAGCAGAGCTCCCATTGAACTGAAAATGAAGCTCTGATTGCAAATTTTGCTACAGCATAATGAATTCTTTGCTGGTGAATTCTTTATTAGTGTAGAGTAGTTTGACTTGCTTTATAGTGTTAAATGCTTCTTCTTAGTGTTATTTTTTTTTCCAGAGGACTGTATTGTCATTTAGAAAAGTCTGGGTTTAAGCTTACATGATGTTATCCTGCAATAATAATCAAGGTGTATTTTAATTTTTGTTCTGTACTTTTTTTGTATGGTTTTGCTTATATAAAAGATATTGTAAACAATGTTTTTATTTCTTGTTTGCTGCATTACTAGAGGACAAAGTCTGGGTGTTGCAAAGTTCTGTATATTTACAGAAACAGCTTACTATGTGTGGAATTCCTGAAGCCATTTAAATATAATTTTTTTTTTAATGTGGCCAGTATTTCCCTTGAAAATACATAGAACAGTTTTCCATTGGGAAAAAAAGGAAAGAAAGTAGTTTGAATGAAAAAAAGTGCCAACAGTCCTTTTTCAGTCTATGTGTTTTAAAATGTATTAGGCTTATGGATTCACCAGATAAAAGCTGGCATTTTGGTAATAAATTTTTAAAACTTTCAGCAGCATGAAAATAATATTTAAGTGAATTGCCAAATCAGCAGAATTTTCCAAAGTAGTAATAAGAAAACTTTGACCTCAAGGACTGTGAGTCCTGATCTTTCGATTTCTGAGTCTCACAGTAATTGATAAAAGAGAACTTTCCTTTCATTTGATCTGTGTAATACTCTCTTACATTTTGTCCAACTCTGATTTTGTTTTTCTGGTTTCATACAGTCTCAAGAATCTTATGAGCTAAGAGCAGCCTATGGAAAACACGAAGAAAGGCTGCAGATGTTACAGACCAACTACAGAGCGCTAAAAGAGCAATTAAAGCAGTGGGAAGAGGGCAATAGCAGGTAAGTTACACAGCTCATAAAAAACATTTTCCTTACCCAAGAAATCTGAACAGAAGTATTATAAAGGTATTCAAAAGAGAATGTGATTTGAAGAAAGAAGCTACTGGGTGGTGATCAAGACTGTTCTTTGTTACAGCAGAATACATAGCTTACCCCTATGTGAGAAAAATTGTAGTTGAAACCAAGAGGACATATATTGAGCTGACACCTTGACTTACTTCATTTGGGCTCTCCTTGAGAGCCTGAGTACTGGACAAAGGTCAGCTAGGACTGCTTACTTATGTTTGTCTAATTCCTCACTCATTTATTTTGTTTACTGTATGTTTTTAATTTTCTGTAACACAGCAGTTGCTCATTATGTTTCAAATAGTTTTTAAAAATAGTTTTATTCATTAAAATATAGAAAGAATACCCTCTCTAACATTTAGTGATTCGTATATTAACTGAGGCTAAAATCTCCTTCCTTATAGGGGAAAAGTAAAATAATATGTGCATGAAAGCAAGGTGTTTTTATCTGTTAAATTATTTAAAAATAAATTATTTCTGATAATTTTACAAAAAATGCAGTAATATATCTTTATTAATGAAAGAGGGAAGACTTTACCACATAAAATTTGCATAATGAACATTCTGTATATCATTCTCCCTTAGGCTCTATACAGAGCAGTGAAAATTTTTTGCAGAAATTCTTTTTTTAAGTCCTTAGCATACAGATACTTTGGTAAATAGATGCAATTGGAGGAATTAAAGCATTTCTTATCAGTTCAGTTATCAAGCACTGCTGTTTTTCAGGACCTGTTTCAAAGAAGTAGTTTCCTTGTGGCTTTAACAGGGCTTTAGCATGCACCTAACAGCTCAGTAAACACTTGTGGTTTTTACTAAAAATAATTATTTTTGCAGTTACAACAAAGTGACTAATCTTGACACTATCCCTCTCTGAAGAAAATGAGAGTCACAGAAAATGCTGCAAAACTGGTAGCTGTTCAGAGTCTGGGGTGACATAAAGCATCCTACTGTGAATGATAAACTGTTCCTTATATATAAGTAATGATATTGCATATCTTAGTAGATTTGCATTGCTTTGAAATACTAGCATTTACGTAGGAGCAATTTGTCTTTAAAAAAGGAAAAAAAAAGGTGTGGATGGAAACAATGGTGAGGTACAAAATTGCTACAGGCATCGGTGGAAGCACAGGAGCATTTTTTTAAATACCTAAGTATAATGGCAAATATATTTAGGCAAATTATAATGAAATGGTTTTGTTTTTTAAGGAAAAATATGGAATTTTTTTCTTTTATTTCACTGCTTTAAATGTAGTGCAATCTGGAAGTGACTTAAGGATGATAATTACTAAATTCAATGAAATTATTTAATTCTGTGTCTATACCTAGACAGGCTTCCATATCCATTGAGAGTCCAAGGCTAACAAGATAAAAAAAATTGAACTAGATAAAGACCTTAAAATCTTAAACTTGATATACAGTGAAGCACTGGGTGTTCTGGTTCTGTTAGTTTAAAAAAAATTAAAAAGAAAAGGGAAAGAGAGACAAAGGTGACTTCTGTTTAAAGTAAATGAGACGAGCTTGTGTTATAATGAATGTGTTTGGGAAAAGTAAGTATTGGGGAGAATATAATGCTCAGTCTTCACTTAGTCATCTAATTTTTTCATCTCTATTTAAGATGAGCTGAAAATAACAGGGTTTCAATAATCTTTGTAACCAGGCTAGATTGGTATGAAGTCACACTAAAGGAGATTTGGTTTTCATTTTTAATACAGTTAAACAAAAGAAAGTAGACAAGACACAAATAAAAGCAGTCTGTAACAATAACATCTGTTATTTTGGTATCACAAAAAGCTGTATAGTGCTGCTGTAATGTAAATTGTGCATTAAGAAGTCAGTATCAGGTGCTTATGTGGCATTTCTGATCCTTTGTAAGTGATGGAGGACCCCATTCTCCATATTCTTCATAGATTAGTATCTGTTATTGAGATGGCAGCTGATGGGACCTAATCCACCTGTCAGTGTACATACAACTAGCACTGATGTACGTGACTGCAAAGATGATGGGGGCCTTAGGAGGTTACCACATTGTCTGAGAGTTTATTTCTATGCCCAGTAGGAATTTGGATTGCAGAGTTTTAAATTGATTCCATAAAGCATTTTTTAATACAATTTTTATCGTTGGCATTATTAAAATATCTAAAAATACTTTAATGACTGAAAAACTGTTAAATAATTTTACTTTTCTGTGCTTCAAAAGTCAATATGCTTTTTCTTAATACATAATCTTGTCCATAGATAGTTAATTCCTTTATTAAACTGTAGAACAACAGTGTGATTTAGAGTGGGCATTAGTTGCAACTTCCACATTGGCTTGCTGGGGTGTTAGGGGAGCTGATGACTTTCCCTTAATTTTCAAGAGATTACGTGCTGATATTAACTTCTTCTTTCCCATACCAGTATTTAAAGTAATGTTATCAGAATGTGGGTGACACTATTCTGCCACATCACCTGGGAGGCATGGTGTGATACTAGCTCAATATCTATCTGAAATTATGTAACTGAACTTCTCTTTATTACCACAGTTAAGGTTTCATGCCTCAGAATGTATACTTCATACAAAATTCAGATTCAATGGATGCTGTACTTGAAAAATCTGTATTTTCTGAAAGCAGGGGTGCTTTTATTCTGGTTCTCCCAAAGCATTTAGATATTTGAAAACAAACAACCTTTTTTAACTCATAAACAGCTTTGAAAATACTAAAAGCAGATACCAACACACAAGCTCCTGTCAGCTTTGTCAAGAGGATTGTGATGTGAAATGAACTGGCTTTTTTCAAAAGGGAGAACAAGAAGCTGCTGATTGAGAAGTGAGTTTGTTTCTTAAATGGTGTTTAAATAAAGAAACATACTGGGGTTTTTTTGTGAAGTGCTTTACAGGCCATACAAGAGGAATTCCTTGCAAAATTCCATTATGAAAGCATCTACCAAAAGCAGAAAAGGAAAACATCAGCTCTTTTTTTTTTTTTTTCCTTCTCTCTCCCCCTTAAATCAGTGACAAGTTACAAGTTTGCTAGCACTAACAGAAACTGTATTCCATGATCTAGGGATTGTGTTAATTAATGTGGCTCTCATCTGTTGGAGGTGTCGCTCTTCATTAGCCTGTATTTTACACACTGCCGTGCTTCATTTTTGGAATGAGGTGGTGAGGGGATAACCTAGCCAGCCATCCTTGTTTGATCTCTGTGATACATACGCAATGCAGAATGCCTCAGCTCTCTTGGTTCCCTGCCCTGTCCTGCTAATCCCAGCTGAGCTCATTATGGTGTAGCCTTGCTGCTACTCCTGGAGCCAGAGCTGTCCAAGCTAATTACTGGTAGCAGCAGAGCTGCCTGTTAAGGGTCTGGTGTGGATCTGCTAACATGGTCCTTGGTAGTGACCTGCAAAAAGCACGAGGGAGTTGCTCTCTTTCTTGCTGTGCACAGCCTGTCCTTTGGGTTTAGTGCTGATCCCTTCACACAGCTCTTTCAGCTGTAGTAAGTGTAAAACTTGGTGAAGGAAACTCTTACTTTAGAAAACATACAGTTTGCTGCTTTGATCTCATAATTCATAGGCTATTACACTCAGCCAGGCAAAGTAAAAAAATGTCCTTTTATACTAGACAAAAGGAAGTTAGTATGGTATAATTAGCCCTTTGCTGTGATTTAACACTTTCTGTAAGTGACTATGATTTTTTGTTTTAATTTAAGAATCAAGACATCATAGAAAGTTTTATTCAGACTTTGTTTTTTGTCCGCATTTAAAAAAAAAGTGTTTTCCCAATAGATCACAATATAAGCCCATTTTGTGGCAGTACCATGAAGGCTGCTATCACAGAATTTCAACAGCAGCAAATTGTTTTGTTCTGTGTAAGTCCTTGTGTTGACCAGAATCTCCATTGGTGTATTATAGGCAGTGTTACCAGTAGCTGTGTTGCATGGGGTATTCTTATATCTGCCAGTTAAAATTGTGTGCCTGTTCTTGTCACTTCATTGTCACTTTTTTTCTTTTGCTGTTTTGAAGCTATAACAACAAATTATCACATGCGATTATTATATTCATTATTATTTCATTTTTTATTTTTATGTAGGAAAGGACACTTTCTTGCCATGTACGTAATTGCAAATCTGGAAAGATGTACATGTAACTCCCTTTCCCTCACTAGTAAACGCATTCACCACAGGCAATAGTAACTGAAAAGCAATTACATAAGCCTCTTTTTTCACACAAAGCCATGTTTATATATTGTGTGCACCCTGAAGGTTGGTACAGCTGGACTGCTTTTCTAGAGTTCCTGTGCAGTCACATTTATGGGAGCACCCTGATTTCTTGTATGTTGCAGATCATTGACCTTGACTAGACTGTGGTGAGGTGTCATGAGCAGACAGTTGAGCTCTTCAGGATACAGGATTTATAAGACAAAATGGATTCATAAAAGTCTGCATAGTAAGGATTTAGTAAGAAGCCAGTACAGCATTGTGTTCATTAAGGTGAACTCTTTGTGTGGATTTAGGTGCTCTTTGTTCCTTATGGGCAATGTCACTTACTGTTGAAGTAAGGAAGAAATGAATGCATAATTGTAGAGTTTATATCTGTCCTGTAATAATGGCAGTCTTTAATTTATTGAAGGATGTCATCATTTCAGGATTTCAGCTCATTTTCTTAAGAAAGTCAATACTAAATTTATTGTAATTTTAGATAAGTGGATAGAGCTTCTTTATATTACTTCTATTGTTTTTTAAATTCTGTGGATAAAGGACATGATCTATGGAGTTGTATCAGTTACTTATATGTGTAATGTTACAGGCAGTATAAGTAAATCAGATTAGCCCATAGGTTTTGCACTTAGTTGATAGAGTCTACGGATTGTTTTCTTAAGTTGATGTTGAACATACATATACCAATGCACTATTGCTTAAAGAAGAGTGTCGGTATAGGCATTTTTTTTTGGTTTAAGTCATTCTAACTAGACTAGTTTTATTTTACCTATTAATTTTAATATTAATTTTACCTCAATAGGTAAAATTTCTCTCTCTGACTAAACCAAAGAGTGAGTGTTAGAAAATAGGATTTTTTTGTTGTTGCTTGTTTATGCATTTAATCTGTAAGAATTACTTTCTCTCTCATCTTCTGAGGGATAGAGCAATGATGTAAAATGTCTTTAATATGCACATACATTAATCATGGTTTTAGCCCTTCACTGGACCCACTCCAGGGGCTCCATGACTCCCTTCTAGTGAGGAACCCAGGAATGGACACAGCAATCCAGATGTGCCTCACCAAGGCTGAGTAGAGAGGCACAATCACCCTCCTCAGCCTGCTGGCACTGCTCTTCCTAATGCGCCACCAGGATGCACTGCTGGCTCAGGGACAGCTTGCTGACCTGAAGGACTCACAGGTCACTCTCCACAGAACTGCTTCACTGCACATCCAATTGTTCCGCTGCCTGATTGCAAGCTGGCTAATTTAAATAATTTCAGCATTTCTGTATCAAAAGTTAGTTAGCTGGAGCATGGGGATACCCTGTCCCTTTGGCCTTCATGTACAAACTTTGGAAACTTATAGATGACTGGATATGAACTGTTGTGGAATATTTACATCTTTCATTCTGTATTATTTTTAGGCAACCTTGTAATAGATACCAGCAACACTCAATTATTTGACAACAAACATTCTTCAGCATTAGACATGATGACATAAATTATCATTTTCATAGCTAGCTGGCAATTTGTTGTCTGTATAAGTGCTTTGTACTTCTGCATGTCATCCATTATAGGAGGTGTGCTCTGAGTCTTCAAAGCATATGGAATCACTACAAGCTCAGTCATATCCTTCCTCTGCTGTTGCAGCTATTTAATAAATGTTTCTGATAAGCTTTCCTTTTTTAGGAAAACAAGACCTCATGGTTTCTGCTTTCCTTATTCCTGTGGAGTGAAAGCAACTGTTGTGTACCTAGTGTAGTGGTATGTGATCAACTAGTTGACAGGAGCCTGTTGTAGTACCAGCAGCACCATGTGATGCCTCTCGCCTTTCTAGCTGTCAGAATGGGTATGATGGAGAAAAGCTGAATTAAGTGTGTTGGAATGCTACCAGTAAGAACCATAGGCTATATTAGCTCCCTTACTTCTTGAATGTGTGTTACCTCCCTGGTTCTTTAACTAGAGAACCTGCTGAAAAACGCGATTTTGATAATCTTGACCCTTTCAGGCAATAGGAGATGCCTGTTCATCGAAGACTTTTATTTTTAAACCTCTGTTGTTTTGTGAAACATCCAAATACCCCAGCAATTTTTTCTGTATTTCACTCAATAGGTATGGCATGTTGCAGATTAATTTGTAACAAAGTGCATTCACACTAGATCAGTGTTAAAAAGTGTCACCTGCAGACCTGCAGCACATAGTCCTTCTGACCTGGGTGTTTTCTCTGTAAAGTAATCTTTCTGGTTATCTGTTTTAGGAGTGCTGGGACAGAGCAGACATCTTACTAATAATTACTTGAATTTACTATGTCAGGGCTCTTGGTTACTTTTTTCTTCAGTTAGTAATTCTGTAGTTCAAAGGCATATATAGTTAAAGTGATGATGTGCATGTGTTTGTTTAGGTTGGAATAGATAAAAATCTGAAATACCAGCTTTCATTCTACTTAAAGCAATTCCAACCTAAGTTCTGCAGCTAATCTTGTGGCTCTTCTGAGGGTTTTGACAAAGTGCATGCTTACTGACAGGACTGAGTATTGCTCAGTGAAAATGACAGGCTCAAGTGTGAGAACAGGAAATACTGCACTACAAATAAATTAAAATGTAAGAAATCAGAAGCATTTGGTGCAATATAGAGTATAGTTTCTGTAAGATATTTTAAGGGACCAAACTCAGAACTGCAAATACCACATGAACTCATCTAGGGGCTTTTACATAATGAACAAAATGGCCCTTTATTTGAAGTGAATTAGTTTTTTTTCTAGGAAGCTTCCAGTTACATTTTCACCAAGCACTCTATCAGCTGTTTTTCACTGAGAGGATTCCATCAAGGATAAGGAGATTGATGCTTTTTAATTGTTAAACTTGTCTCTAGAATATTTCTTACCTGTGTCCACCAGATCTTGTAATTTCCTGCATCCTAGCTAACAGACAAATTTGAGGTCATAGTGTGGTCTTTTGTATCAGATGTGTTTGTGTTTTTCCTTTGTTCCTTCATATTTAATCAGACATGTCTTGTCTTGAACTTCAGTGCCTTCTCATATGTGATGGAATTGTGTCATATTAAAAACATGAGTCATGCTGCTAAACATTTTTTTTCATAATATAGAAGCAGATAAATGCAGAATTAAAGTTGCATTCATGATAAGATTTGGGCATTGTCAGGAACAAAAATAGCAGAGACATGGTGGAGAAAGTTAAGGACTCTGTTAGCTTCCCTTTTTATTGCTGCTTGCACAGAGCTGTTGCTTGGCTTGCTGTTGGATCAGAGTGATTTCTGATTTCAGAGTAGATTATTTGGTTTAGAAATGAATTGTTGTACAGGTGATAACCATACTGCCTGCAGAAGAACAGTCTTTTTCTCATCTCTCTGTCTGACATAGGCAAAAGGTCTTCAGCACTTAGATGGAAATGTCTGATTTATTAGTCTTACAGATATGTATGCACTTATAAAAACAAAGAACTACTAAGTGTGTCATATTAAACTGTACAGAATGTACATGGAAGAAGCCTGTGAACCTACAGTCAGTAATACCAAAGCACAATGATTACTAACATGTCGGATTGCTATTTTAAGAGAATAAGGAGTAAGTAATGAAAATAAGTTTCTATACAGTACCTTCTGTGAAGTTCTAT